AAAATATTAGCAAATCAAATCCAGCAATGTTTTAAAAAAAATTATACACCACAACAAAGTGGAGTTGATTCCAGGTATGCAAGACTAGTGCAACATTCGAAAATCAGTTGATGTAATCCATCACATCAACAGGCTAAAGAAGAAAAATCACATTAGAGTCAGAAAAACCATTTGAAAAAATTCAACACCTATTCATAATAAAAACACCCAGCAAACTAAGATTAGAAGGGAATTTCTTCAACTTAATAAAGAACACCTACAAGAAACCTACAACTAACATCATACTTAATGATGAAAACCTGAAAATTTTCCCCCTGAAGATCAGTTTTCTCCCTAAGAACAACAAGCTAGGATATCCTCTCTCACCAGTTCTATTCAACATTGTACTAAAAGTTCTGGTTAATACAATAAGATAAGAAAAAAAAATAAAAGTTATACAAATTGAAAAGGAAGAAAAAAAACTTTGTCTATGTAGAAAATCCCAAAGAATTGTCAAAAAAAATAAAAAACTCCTAGAACTAATAAGCAATTATAGCAAGGTCACAGGATATAAGATTAATATATGACAGTCAACAGCTTTCCTGTAAACCAGCAATGAACAAATGAAATTTGAAATTAAAACCATAATACTATTTATAGTAGCACCAAAAAAGTAAACACTTAAGGCATAAATCTAACAAAATATGTACAGGATCTATATGAGGAAACTATAAAACTCTGATGAAAGAAATCAAAGAAGATCCAAACAAATAAATTTTCATGGATAGGAAGCCTCAATATTGTTAAGATGCCAATTCTTCACAACTTGAACTGTGGATTCAATGCAATCCCAATTAAAATCCCACCAAGTTATTTTGTGAATATTGACAAACTGATTGTAAAGCTTATATGGAGAGGCAAAAGACAAAGAATAGCCAAGACAACACTGCAGAAGAACAAAAAGGACTGACACTACCTGATTTTAAGAATTACTATAGAAGGGTTGGCCCAGTGGTGTAGTGGTTAAGTTCCTACACTCCACTTCAGCAGCGCAGGGTTTGCAGGTTTGGATCTTACACACGGCTTGTCAAGCCATGCTGTGGCGGCGTCCCACATACAAAATAGAGGAAGATGGGCACAGATGTTAGCTCAGGGCCACTATTCCTCAAGCAAAAAGAGGAAGATTGGTGACAGATGTTAGCTCAGGGCCAGTCTTCCTCACAAAAAAAAAAAAAATTCCTATAGAGCTACAGTTAATGAAGACAACGTGGTATTGGTGAAAGACTAGACATATTGATGAATGGAACAGAATAGAGTATGCAGAAGTAGACCCACACAAATACAGTCAACTGATATTTGACAAAGGAGCAAGGAAATTCAGTGGAGTCTTTTCAACAAATGGACAATTGGACATTTACATGTTAAAAAAAAATTAATCTAGACACAGAACTTTTACCTTTCACAAAAATTAACTGAAATGTACCTTAGACCTAAATGTAAAATGCAAAACTACAAATTTTCTAGAAGACAACATAGGAGAAAATCTAGGTGGCCTTGGGATTGCTGACAAGTTTTTAGATACAACACCAAAAGCACAATCCAACAAGGAAAAAAATTGTTAAATTGGATTTATTAAAATTAAAAATTTCTGCTCTGCCAAAGACACTGTTAAGAAAATGAAGAGATAAGCCACAGATTGGAAGAAAATCTTGCAAAAGACATTGATAAAGCACTTAATTTATCAGAATTCATAAAACTCAACAATAAAAAAAACAAACAGCCTGGGGCCGGCCCGGTGGCGCAAGCGGTTAAGTGCGCGCGCTCCGCTGCCGTGGCCCGGGGTTCGCTGGTTCGGATCCCGGGCGCGCACCGATGCACTGCTTGGCAAGCCATGCTGTGGCGGCGTCCCATATAAAGTGGAGGAAGATGGGCACGGATGTTAGCCCAGGGCCGTCTTCCTCAGCAAAAAAAGAGGAGGATTGGCGGATGTTAGCACAGGGCTGATCTCCTCACAAAAAAAAAAAAAAAAAAGCCCAATTTTAAACAAGGCAAAAGATTCAAATAGACACTCTACCAAAGAAGATACTCAGATGCCAAATAAGTATGTGACAAGAGGTTCAACATCACATGTTATTAGGGATTTGAAAATTAAAACAATGAGATATCACTACACACCTATTCGAATAGCTAAAAATCAAAAAAAGTAACAACATCAAATATTGACAAGAATGAGGAGCAACAGGAACACTCAGTGGTGGTGGTAATGCGAAATGGTACAACCACTTTGGAAGACAATTTTATAGTTTCTTAACAGTCTAAGCATACTCTTACTATATGATCCAGTAACTGTACTCCTAGGTATTTACTCAAACGAAGTGCAAAGTTATGTCTACACATGAATATTTAGAGCAGCTTTATTCATGATTACCAAAAATCCTTCAATAAATGAATAGATAAACAAACCATGGTACATCCATGCAATTTAATATTATCCAGTGATAAAAATAAATGAGCTGTCTAATCATGAGAAGACATGGAGGAACTTTAAATGCATATTGTTTAGTGAAAGGAGCCAGTTTGAAAAGGCTACATACTGTATGATTCCAACTATATGACATTTTTGGAAAAGGTAAAACTATAGAAACAATAAAAAGATCAGTGGTGGTCAGGGGTACGGGAGGAGGGAGGAATGATGAATAGGTGGAACAAGGGATATTCAGGTCAGTGAAACTACTCTGTATGAAACTCTAATGGCAGAAACACGTCATGATGCATTTGTTAAAACTTAAGAACGGTACAGCACAAGGAGTGAAGCCTCATGTCAACTGTGGATTTTAGTTAATAATAATGTATCAGTATTGGTTCATCGATTGTAACAAATGTACCACACTAATGCAAGATGCTAGGAATAGGGGAAACTGTACCTGGAGTGGGGGGTATGAAGGGATTATATGAATCTCTCAGTACTATCTGCTCAATTTTTCTGTAAATCTAAACCTGTGCTTAAAATATATATGACTTTTTTTAAATCTAAAGCCCTATTTCAAAGGAGAAAAATAGCTCATAAGAGAAAATAATTTTTCTTTGTGAACTGAGATATGGTCTTACACACATTCAAAGATGAAAGTTATGGGCCTTTTTTCCCCTCCAATATGATAATAGAAGGTTAAAATACAACCCGCACATTCAAAATTTAAATGGAATAGAAACACCTTAAGCCAAATATGGGCCATCTGTAACTATCTCTCCTTGTGTTCGTATTACAGAATCTCAGAGTTGAAAGGGACCTTAGAGGTCATCTAGTCCCAGGTTTATCTGAATCTCCTTTACTTTCTCAATAAATCTGACCGTTCAGCTCTGTTGCCTATCTTTTTCTACTTTTTATTTTCTCCCTTTTCCTAGTTCTGGTCTCCCCATCCCCTTAATTGGCCATAATGCTAAAATAAAGTATATTTTCACTTTGTATTATAGTTATCAAATATGGTTTTATTATCCGTTTTTGCTTTTAAAAGCACACCTATACACATATGGAATAAAAGACCCACAAATTGAGACATTTTTCTTATAGGACCTTCCACTTATACTTTTCTTGTGGGTCAATGGCCTTAATAGCAGTGGGGCACATATATCAATTTTTGAAATCCCAATGTAATTTTCAGTCTAAAACTGAATTTTTCCCAGCAATTTTTGGTGGGAAAATTTTAGCTTCTAAAAGCAAACCTACTATATAGACATTAACACTTAAACAACAAAAAATAATGTTTCTTTAGTGATAACTAATAATTCATTCTTCTCATTCACTGTTCTCTGGGAAAATGAACTGGTCTTCATTATAACAACTTTCAGTAAAACATGGCTATAGTCCACATGACTGTAAATATAATTTTAAAAAAACAAATAAAAGAATATAGGTGACATATCTAAAGTTTAGATTTTTTTTTTAAATATCAAACTTGAGATACAACGATAGCCCAAGTTATAAGATGATAAGTCCTGTAGATCTAAAGTCTCTGAAGGAAATGTATTTGGTTATAAATAAAGTAATTGTTTTCTGAAAATTATCAATTCTCTTTAGACTTGATATTTCAAAATATTTACTATTTTTAAATACTACATTTGTCTTTGGGTCAAAATTAGTGAGAACAGAGATATTTCAGTTTAATTTATGAAAATTTGCCATAACTTTATAAAAACTTGCCAGGATATAGTTATTCTGAAATAAGGACTATCCTTTAAATGTAGTAATATCATTTTATTAAAAAAACTCAAAATTTCAGAATAGGGAGAGTAAAATTATATAATCATAAAACAATCAGAAGTGGAACTTAACAAACTTCTTATAACTGGACTTGGTAAAAATTCTTCCACATTGCTGAGTATATTTGGAAAGATAAAATTTTTTGTTGATTTTAATTATAACATTTAATCTTAAAACTTAAAATACTGAAAGCTAAAGTTGTAATGCAGGATCTCTCAACTTGATAGTACTGACATTTTAGCCAGACAATTTTTTGTTGTGGGTCTCTTCTGGGTACCAAAGGATTTTTAGCAGTATCCGTGGCATCTACCCAAAAGATACAAAAATGTCTCCATATATTCCCAAATGTCCCCTGGGGAGGTAAAATTGCCCCCAATTTAAAGCCACTGTTAATGTATCTCCAATTTAAGTTGTTGCAGAGCTAATATATATTATTTTTCTTATAAATTATTTAATCTACAGAGAGAAAGGGAGACAGAAAATGATGGAACGCACATGTATGAAAAGAGAGCTTAAGAGCAAGTAAAGAAGCAACAGAGAAGGAACCTTTGAAACTCTTGACAGTTATCCAAGAACAAATAAACTTTTCATTTCAGCATCCAAGACAATGTGTCAAGAGTAACAACGCTATTTCTGAGTAAAACTTGTACTTTTCATGTTCTACCAGAAAGAAAATATTGTAACTGCTAAAAAAATAATTTATTTAAAATGTCATGTGAAAACATCATTCAAACAAAAAAAACTGAAATAAATGAAATCTTACTTTTTTCTATAGTACTCCCTGGCGCTCTTTGGTCCCGATCTTGAGGAGGCACACTTGCTTTACTATGTGAATCAATTGTAGACTGTTTCACTGGTAAACATGAAAGCTCCATAGCATTATAAGAATCATACAAATCCCAAGCAGTGGACATTATGCCTAAAAAAAGAGACAGAGAGGTAAAATGTACTTCAAACCAAATTCTAATATTTTAGCTTATATATAACTAGTCACAGCAAAATCTAAAATAAGAATATCTCCTGCTTAGGAAAAAAAAATACTATCATTTTACAACAATGGGAAGAAATGGATAAGGGTGAAAAAGAAAGAAATCATGAGGACACCTTAAGAGATCCTTAGCCATCATACTTTTAGCATCTACAAATACCTTAGTGTTTTAGCGATAGCTCCGAATTATCCTCCCCATCCTTTCTGATCCCCTCACCTCCCTCGCCTCTATCCAAGCTGGTGCAGCGTAATCTCATCAGTCTGTCAGTATAGGGCTGCCTTGATACGGACCTGAACAACCATGTTATAACAAGTTTTTAATGTTTCTTTACTTATGGTTAACATATAACATGTTATATTCTACAGAACTTTTTATTTATAATCATCTAATTCCTTTTTATCAAGTAAAATTTCCTACATACTTATGTAAAAAGACTGTACTTCTTGGGAAAATGATTGACTCTATTCTCAATAAACTTGTAGAGTAGTATAGTTATTATCTTCTCTTTTAAAATTTTTATTTAAGTTAACTATACTTAAGTGAGCAAATATAACAATGGTCTCCAAACAAAAATTGGTGATGTAAATGTCCAAATTTAAAAAAAAAGAAAAAAATTCCCAATCCCTTTCATTGCTGATATAACAATAAATGGCTTATATAGCAATTATTTTATCAGTGACCATGTAACAATATATTCATACATGCTAAACTTACTAACGTTTCAGTTAAAGTAGAGTGATTTAATAAAGAATTCTTTTCCCTGAAAATCAAAACAGGATCTGGATCTAATAAATGCAGCCATTTCACTGTTAGAATTTTTATTTTCATAACGTGAAATGAAGGAGCTCTGGTATTTAACAATGTTTTCAATTAGTAAGAATGTTAACTCACATTTCATAATAACATTTTCTATCTTATTGAACCTATCTTAATAGTATCTAACAAAGTCATACACAGAATACCTAGTATTTTGCTGAATTGAAAAGGGTTCAATTTCCATGTTCCTGAAGTAAAAGACCATAGAAAGAAATTGTCTTTGAATATTGAATTACCTAAACTTATTTTTCTTCCTTTAACTGAAAGTTTATTAAGTTGAGCATATAGGAATATATTGTCACATGGTCACTAATAAAATAATTGCTACATAAATAAATTATATGTTATAAATGAGCAATATAAAATGTTAGGGTGATTTAAAGTTGTTTGTTCTTTGGAGATAATACCACCAGTAATTTTAGTTTGGGTATCATTGTTACATTTGTTCATTTGAATAAATTAACCTTAGAAATAGAAAATCTCAAACCACACGCCATAATATCATGTACAAGGTGGAATAATAATGAATGAATGCGACTTCCCAATTGTGTACTGTTATATACTATTAAATAAAGCTTATTTTAACTAGTATCAGAAAAAAGTATTCTCAGCTATACCTGTGCTTTGAGCATTTCTGAGTCTAAAATACATCTAAATAGCTTTCACATATTTTAAAACATTGTTTCTCTCTACTCGTTTAATTCAGACTATGAAAGAGTAGCAATCAACTTCATAACATTTACAGAAAAATAATTTTACTTTTAGCTCAGTAAAAAGACATGCTCACTGTTAAAGAAAAAAGAAAAGGCAAATATGATTTGTATTTCCATCACCCAGAGACAATAACTGCTAGTATTTTGGTGTATGTCCTTCCAGATATACACGAACAAATACATACATATATTTTTTTAATAAAAATCACAAATCATGTTCATATCACATATGATTTTACAAAAGAATTTTTTATTGTAGTATAATATACATAGAAAATAAGCTGACTTTATGAAACCTACAAAGTTGTAGGATTTAACTGTATTTTCAAAAGTTAGCCAAAAACACTAATGCATTTATTGAATTATCCATTTATTTGAAATGGCAATTTTATCTCAAATTCCTATATGTATACTGTTAAGTGGCAAACTTTTTTTTTTTTTGGTGAGAAAAATTCACCCTGAACTAACATCTGTTGCCAATCTTCCTCTTTTTTGCTTTAGGAAGATCGTCACTGAGCTAACATCTGTGCCAGTCTTCCTCTACTTTGTATGTGGGACGCTGCCTCAGCATGGCTTGATGAGTGGTGTGCAGGTCTGCGCCCAGGATCCAGGCCCCCGAACGCCAGGGGCTGCCAAAACAGAGTATGTGAACTTAACCACTATACCACACGGCCGGGCCCAAGTGTATAGGCAAATTTTTTCCTCACTTTCTATGAATCTTTACAGAGGGAACTTGAGCTAAATTAACACTTCTGGCCTCTCTATGTCCCTCATTCACTCATTGCTAGGGAAAGAGAAGTGACCAATCCTAAAGGAGAGTTTAGGAGAAGGAACTGCAGCTCAGCCACTTCTGGATACTTTCATTAGGTCCATTCAGATATTCCACGTTCATGGATAAGAAGACTCAATATCGTCAAGATGTCAGTTCTTCCCAAATTGATCTGTAGATCAATGGAATCCCAATCAAAATCCCAACAAATTATTTTGTAGATATTGACAAACCAATTCTAAAGTTTACATGGAGAGGCAAAAGACCCAGAATAGCCAACACAATACTGAAGCAGAATAAAGTTGGAGGACTGACACTACCCAACTTGAAGACTTAATAAAGCTACAGTCCGTTCTTGGCCCTCTATTCTATTCTTTTGGTTTATATATCCGTCTTTATGCTAATACCACCCTGTTTTGATCACTGTAACTTTATAACAAGTTTTCAAATCAGGAAGTGTGAGGCCTCTAATTTTCTTTTTCTTTTTCAAGATTGTTTTGGCCATTTGGGGGTCTCTTGATATTCTATATAAATTTTAGGATGATTTTTTTCTATTTCTGCAAAAAATTCTTTGGGGGTTTTGATAGGGATTATGTTGAATCTGTAGATTGCTTTGAATAGTATTCACATCTTAACAATATTGTCTTTCAATCCATGACACAGGATGTCTTTCCATTTAGTTAGGTCTTCTTTAATTTCTTTCAGCAATGTTTTGTAGTTATCAGTGTACAAGTCTTTCACCTCCTTAGTTAAATTCATTCCTAGGTATTTTATTATTTTGGATGCTATAGTAAATACAATTATTTTCTTAATTTCCTTCTCAGATTATTCACTGGTAGTGTCTAGAAATACAACTGAATGTTGTGTGTCGATTTTGTATTCTGCAACTTTGCTGAATTCATTTATTAGCTCTAATAGCTTTTGTGTGGATTCTTAGGATTTTCTATACTTACATCATGTCATCTGTGAATAGAGATAGTTTTAATTCTTCGTTTTAAACTTGATGCCTTTTCTTTTTCTTGCTTGCTTGGGCTAGAACTTCCAGTACAATGTTGAACAGATGTTGAGAAAGCAAGCATCCTTGTCTTGTTCCTGATCTCATGGGGGAAAACTTCCAGCTTTTCACCACTGAGTATAATGCTAGCTGTGGGTGTTTCACAAATACCCTTTATCAGGTTGAGGAAATTCCTTTCCATTCCTACTTTGTTGAGTGTTTTTATCATGAGACTGTGTTGGATTTTGTCAAATGATTTTTCTGCATTGAGATGATCATGTATGTTTTTTTTCTTTATTCTATTAATGTGTAGAATTAATAAATAATGTGTTTGTTTTGTATACATTTATTGATTTATGTATGTTGAATCACCCTTGCATCACTGGGATAAATCTCACTTGGTCATAGTGTATAATCTATTTAATATGAAGCTGGTTCAGTTTACTAGTATTTCTGCATCCATATTCATAAAAGATATCGGTATGTAGTTTTCTTGTGATGTCTTTATCCGGCTTCGGTATCAGGATAATGCTGGCCTCATGAGTTTGGAAGTGTTCTCTTCTCTTCCATTTTTTGGAAGATTTTTTTTGAATGATTGGTGTTGGTTCTTCTTTAAATGCGTAATGAAATTCACCAGTGAAACCATTTGGTCCTGGGATTTTCTTTGTTGGGGTTTTTCTTTTGTGTGTGTGTGTGAGGAATATCAGCCCTGAGCTAACATCCATGCTAATCCTCCTCTTTTTTTGCTGAGGAAGACCGGCTCTGAGCTAACATCTATTGCCAATCCTCCTCCTTTTTTTTTCCCCCCAAAGCCCCAGTAGATAGTTGTATGTC